GTTGCCGCCTTAACGAGTAGGGAACGAATGGGCGGGGAGAGCCGGCAGAGATGTCGCAAGTCAGGGTCCTTTCTAGCCCAGAGAGACTGATGTCTTTGAGGTATAGTGCTCCCGGTCAGAGTCTACTTTAGCACTTCTCCTACAAAATGAATATCCAACTCGCCCAAGCATCCATTCTAACGATGTATAATTACCGATATCATTTACGCTTCCTTTTCTGTGTAGTACCGATACTTTAGCTATCTGCATCTTCTTTCGAAATACACCTGTAGCTAGTGAAAGATAAAATATTTAGGTCAGCACGGGAGTTAATAAGTGACAAGCATAATTTACCGGTCTTGTTTGAATACCATCCACATCCAAGCTTCCACTATTCTTAAATTGTAAAACAAAAAATACATTTATTACTTTCGATTTTTCAACCGGATCCAAAAATATTGAGTGGCTATTTATTTAATCATTATATGGTGGACACTAAATAGTTTCAACCATGCTCGCAATGCTCACAAAATGCTCGTTAAAAGAATTTGCTAATAAACACCCCCTTTAGTTCAACGCCATTTAAGACAACTTTCCCAATAGAGCTGGAAGAACTGTCGCGACTCAAGATAAAGTTTAATTATTTTACGATGACGCCTTTACGTCATTACGTTGCCTCTAATGCATCTACACAATAGCGTTGTTTTGTATGCTGCAACTATTTTGTTAAACTCCTACGATAGGCTTTAAAAACACTGATGTCTCTCTCATTTCTAGATTTATCAAATGTATCATACAAATAATTTATTGTGTGAATTTTTCCCAACAATTATGGCGTCACTCGTGGCTTTCTGAAACGTGTGCTTTTTTTATTGTTTTGAAATAAAAATTAGTCTTTTATAGTTTAGGAAATATATTCATAAATGTATTTTAGGCCCCATCTACAGAGTGTTCATCAAATGCTCCATTCCAGTTCGTGCCTGTAACCGCGACGGAGGAGCTTTCGAGACTATCAACAGTTACATTCTGAAAACGATATCGGTTGTGTTTGGCTAACTTTCTTTTAGATATCTTAAACATAAATAAATACTGGGAGGTGATCACTCAGGTCGCAACCAAGGACACCAGCTTTTATAGATTGGATCGAGGGATTGGAGATGAATAGACCAATGAGCGTTTCGGATTGACAGGTGACGGCCGTGGGGCTTGTAATAACATTTCTACAGCCATTTCTAAAAACTCAAACGTTTGTTTAGCAGAGGTGGTTGTTTACACACTAATCTTGAAGTAGCCACCGCAGGTTATATTTTTCCTTAATAAGAAAAACAAAACAAAAAAGTAAAAAAAAAAAGCCTCATCGTTCCCAGTCGGGTTTTGATACACGAATAGCTAGAACATTACGATTTCTATGTAATCACGATACTTTATAATCTTGAGTCGTACAACTGAAATCGCTTACTAATTCACTAAGAAACATCTTTCTTCAGGATTGATCCACCACCACCACGTTTTCCGTCTCGGTGGCTTCGAGGCAAAGTGCCGGACAATAAAGAAAAAAAAAAGCAAAGTGCTGGCCTACGGATCCCTAAGTGTGGGGTTCGAATCCCGGCCGAAGTGCCCGCAATCTGACAAAGACCTATTGCGGAGGAGGCGCCGTCTAACCGAGCTGTCGGTTGCACGTTAAAGGAACCCCAGGTGGTCGAAATCGATCTTCTCCGCTGGGGTGTGCCAGATGCCCGTCGTTGATTTGGTACGTAAAACCCCCACCAAATTTTGATGTTCGATTCAGGTAAAATGAACATTACAAAGTTAATCTTAGTAAGTACAATTTTTCTGTACACCACGTTTTCTGTAAACACCATAACTCAAAATAGAAAACCAACCTGATCAAAAATTAACTCAAACCCAACAGTTTTTTTATAAACGACTGCGTGCTCAGATGGAAGCATGCTGTACATGCAGAATGATCTTTACCAATATAAGCATTCAAGTCCTCTCGAAGCACAAACGCATTATTCATTGTCAAAAATGACAAGAGCTAAAGATAATATCACGGTAGAGTACCAATCTAAATGAGCCGACACAAGACATTCTGAAAGCATATGTCCAATTGCAGTCTCTCCCTCTTTTTTCCGAACGTACGTACATCCTTACGTTTCTGTCCCAGGCTAACTTAAGCCCCCTGCTTTGCTTATCGTGCTTTGTCAGGTTCTCAAGGAGACATGTTTTACAGTGATCTCCGTTCAGATTTGTTCGTTCTCGAGCCAAAGATTTCGTGTTCTTTGTTTTGACAATCGTGACAGAATGCCTGCCACTTAATCGATTTCAGGTAGAAGGAGCCCGTGTACTGAAATCAGTTCGTTAATCTGAACTTATGGCACATGCTTCCCAACTTAGATCAGTTTTGTCATTAGGTCTTCGTGAACAGCCAACCAACTGTCGACGGATGCTACTGCTGCCGGCAGTTGAGAACTGTAAGCACTGCACATCCTAACTCGAGGCCCAAAGCCGTGACACGAGAAAGGGCTATCAACGCGAAAACAGGGCAAGGGAAGTTGTATCTGGAAAGTCGGTGTTTTGGTGTTTTACGTTGTTTGACGACCAACCAACCAGATTTCCCTTTCTCAAGCTCTATCTGTATTCCGAATGGAATAAAGATAGAGCTTAATAACCACAAGGTTGTTGGGTGTTTCCATGTCAGTTATACAGTGATAGCCGGGGTCATATCTTGTATATTTCTGTAAAATGTATACTATATGAAAGTGATATCCTTGAGAGAAGCACTCAGCTATGCATACAGGGTGTTTCACGTAACGCGGGTCAAATCGTTCCTGTGAAAAGTACGCATCGCACTAGAAGTTTCAATCTAATATTGGTTCCTGCCAAAGGGCAAATATAGGAAAAAATGTCTTTGATATCATCCGGTTATTTATTACTTTTAGTAATTAACTCTACAATTAATATATTTAAAGGTATCATTGCAATTGCAAATATTGTCTGCATAATTGAAAACGATTGAATCCACCCACAGTATAGAGATATAAACCATGCACAGCCTTTTACGGCGCTCCGTCAAATACACATCATAATGAATGTGTTTTGAAAAAAGTGGTTGTAAGGGTGTGTCTTGGGGGGGGGGGGGGGGGGGGGGGAGGCAACGCACGGAAACACGAATGAGAAGCTAAACTAAGGACATCATAAATATTTACACCCCACGATAACGCAGCACCGCTGTACAGGCTTTGTCGGCGAAGACAAGTTAGCTCAATTTAAGTGAAGGTTTGTTCTCGTTTACCTCTCAAGGTAAATGAGAATAAATACATTATGCAATGCTTTGCCATCACAAGTTAGTTCAAGTCACTGTAAACGGGTAAGGAGATAATAAAAGAAATAAAAAGTTGAATGATATACAATATTGACGCGCAATTTTGCCACATTTATAGAAATTAGCTGCGTTTCTGCATTAAGAACATAACTACAATAATAGCTAAGCATATTTGTTTTATATATTCGCAAAATGCATTTAAAGATGATCGTTTTGATATATTTGGCGTCGTTTGATATAAAGTTGTTCGTTGGTAAAGAACTTGTGAATGTGTTTTTAAACGCGTTTATTAGACTTGTTTCGTAATTTTTTGTCGTGCATATAACTTTGATTTTCTTTTTTAATATTATGCGTGCGTGCCGTAAACCTTCCATAAAATAAGTCGAAAAAGTATTACTACGTGCATGTTTCGGTGTGAAATTGACGGCTGTGCGAAGTACCATAGCAAAACGTTGGGAACCTCCACTCTTCGAACTTCGAAATTTCATATCTCTTGACCTTTATTGCACAATCTGAAATGGTAACACCCCATTGTTCTCGAAAGGTTCCACCGCGCTGCGCCTGCTCCACAACCCAGGCGTCCGCGCCGCACGGGGTGCAATCAGTGCGATGCGAGCTCAGAGCGCAGATGTGGACGGCACGTGTACTCTTCAGCGGATTCGTTTCGGCTTGCACAAGCATCTCGCTTCGTAGCGTCAATTACGAATTCATTTAATCCAAATGTCACTTTATGGCTAGACTTTATTGAGGCCCCGCGTCAAGTCTCTGACTCAATTATGCACCAAGAAATGAAAATTTACAACGTAATTTAAACGTTTTAATTTATTATCTGGTAAATTACCGATTTCACGCCTTTCCTAGTGGCTCCCATGGGGCAACCAGCCTAGCCCAAGGGCTAAAATAACCGCGCCGCTAATTCATTTTATTTTCTAAATTCTGCCCCCGGGCCGGTGAAAAACAAACACAAAACACTTTTGAATTGCAACACGTTTTGTATAATCCAGCGCGAAAAGTATTGCGATCTCGACTGGCGTTGGTAATCGCTTAGGTGTTCGAGCAAGTGCGCCGGCCGGAGGCCCAAAATTTCGGATGGCAGCTGTGGACTACAGCAACTGTATGTGCTACGCTTGCGGAGCAGAGCGTCGCAGTGGTGCTTCCAGGGCGGCCATCTTTACTTCAAGCACCACTGCGGGAAGCGACCGTCATTATTGCAGGAGACACGGAGACACGGCTAGCGGGCTGGCGAGGTGGCTGATCCATGCTATGGGCGTGGCCGTTACGCAACGCGATCGTCCTCCGTGTCGTCTGTGTCCCAGAGTTTGAACACGGATTTTTTAAAACATCACTGGGGTTGTAATAAAACGCGATTATACTGTACCTTGTGGCTACATACGAGTATAATGTTCAGTAGTCAAGGAACCTTCCAGTTCCTTCGATTTTATGTATATTTCGCAAACGCAAAACGAGAAACATGCTCCGCCTGAACCTCGGCGCCCGCAAGGTCGCTTTCCCGCATAAATTTGGAATCCAGCTCCGCGCACGTGATCGCTTCTCCGCCAATACGGAGTTGGCGACAAAAGGAAAAGGGACGCGATACCCTGGCTATGCGAGCAGAGCCTACACAGTTACTCCACTGTACATATACGACATTTTCTGAGATTGGAAGCACCGAACAAGGAAACTCTTCCGGACTCACCGTTAGAAGGCCTCCTTTCGTACAGCTGACGTCGAATCGCAGGATTTGAAACTCCACAAGGAACTCCGGCTCCGTGTAGACGTAGAGGGCACACACGCTATCGCTGCCCGTCGAGATGAACGTGTATTCGCCCTCTATGGACTTTTCGAATATGCAGTCTGCGTGATACAGGGAGAGGAAAGAGAAAGAAAGAAAAAAAAAACATGAATGAGATGGTGGTGGCCTTGTACCCTTTCTATGCTATCCAAGTCAACCACTAAATTTAAAATGAGGAAACCTAACAATGTACCAAATAAGGCAAAATGTAGCAAAGTAGTCAAAAAAAAAAAGAAGAAAGGGGGCGGTTAGTGCAGTCGTCGACGAGGACGGCTTCCAGCAATTTCCGCTACGTCGACGTGTGGAGATTGCCGTGGGCTCTGACAAATCCAGTAAGTTGCGTGTCGTGGCGAAGCGACCAAGGGAGAAGGCTCTTTCCATTTCACGATTGCATCCCGAGACGACATGCGATGAACTTTTGGAAACTGCCTTGTGCGCTTGGAAGCCAAAGCTTTACTTGCGCCCCCGAAACTGTGTTCCAGATTTAACAACTGCGCTTCTTTTCACGTCTCAGTTAATGAGAAAAACTTTGGTAAGCCAGTTTGTCGCGATTTGTGACCGCATTGTTGCCTTTGTCGGCTATTTTCGGGACGGCTCAAGCCCGATGACAATGGTAGTGCTAATAAGACTGTACCAAGCCAGAGCCCCGATCAAAACCGCCCTTTAGACTGATAAACATTAATACGAGAAGAGTCATCAACAAACCGGATGAATTTGAAAGTGTAATCTTAATATTTGACTCCGATGTAATAATGATTACTGAAACTTGGTTCAACAGTGAAATATCGGATAGCGACGTTTATATGGATGGTCTAATGTGTTCCGGCGACATCGACAATCTCGCCGGAACACATTCTATATATTTCATATACACCCGAGTCAGAACATGTCAATACAGTAAAATGCTTAAACTGATGTATTTAGCATCGTTCACACTCACTTCCAATACTGTGTGGAATCCTGGGGTTTTACTAATCAAAGATACATACAATCAGTTATAGCACATCAGAAGCGAGCAATCAGGATATCAGCCAACACAAAATATAATACTCATTCCATTTCATTATTTCAAAGCCAACGGATACTGTCGTTCCACTTGGTACGAGATTACAAAGCTGTGGCTATGATGCATAATATTTTGACGACAAATACACCACTACGATCAAGCATTTCCTCACAATCGGAAAGAGTCACCAGAGATGTTATGGTCAACAATTTTAATATTTCATTGTCTCATAATGTGTATGGTCAAATAATGACACGGTATACTGGAACAAAAATATGGAATTCCTTATGCATCCCAATAAAAGAAAGCAAAACGTTCAAAAGTGCACTTAAAACATTTTATGTGGAAACAATATTTCATTCACATTCATATGTGTACGGCACATGCATGGATGCCAGGTAACTGCCGCTATATTTATGTGTCTGCATTTGGAATGGATCCAAGACTAGCCAAGTAGGCTACGTACGGATCCAGACGCATTTGAGCAGTGTGATCTGTGATTATTTTATATTTTGAATAAAATTGAATTGAATCGAATTGAATTCATTCATGGCGAAAGGGGTCGCACTCCTCGTCAAAGTCAATTTCGCGTGTACATTTATTGAACACAGTTATGATTGCGAAATGGTTTGGGTGCCTGTTCGTTGGGTCGTCAGTCAAACCACCGGCATCATACAGGTGCCCGCAAGCTGATATGGATGTGCTCATAAAAGTATCTGAATTTTTGTCAATCAATCTAATTAATTTTTCCCATGTTGTTCTGGCTGGAGACTTCAACTTGCAAGATATATACCATATTGACTTTAACAACATAATCCTCATAGGCAGCAGAGCGAGCTTAGGGCTACTTGTACATATTGCTCATAGAGGTAATTTAAGCCAAGTAGGAAGATGCCCCAAGCGCTTGTCCAAATGTCGTGATTCGTTGCTAGATTTGATCTTTTTTGGACCGCTGCCTGAAATGGTAATATGTCTAACGTGGAGTGCATATCTGACTATGCAATAGTTGTCTGCGACTTATCTTTCCGGCGGAATACGAGCGATACTGAAGAATTCAAACGGTTCCGCGATTTCACTCGGGACAGATGATGTCGGCATCCTCAATACATTGGAAATAGCATTTGACGAGTTTTTTAGATAAGCAACCAGGATGGAGTATGCGTCGATAAGTCATGGATTTGTTTTAAGCATGTTATATTATGGCGCATTTCATAATTGTCCCGGAAAGTTCAGAAAAAAATAGAACTAAGATGAAAAGTTGATGGATTACACGAGACATTTTACATATAAAACATAAGATACACCGTATTTCAACTAGGTTGAAGAAGTACGCTTTCTTTCTTTCGCCAACAACTACGTGAACTAGTGCGCACATTTAGGTACCATTTTTACAATGCCAATATGGCTAACTTTCTTGGTTAAAGCCCCAAAAACGTTTATGACCATCTGACTAAAACAAATGCACCTATCAAGGAACTTTGCCATAACGGTGCATTTGCTCACCGATGAGCCGAGTATCGCAAGTGAAATTAGCCTTTTCGGCAGGTTGATACTTTAAACCCATGTCGCGGATAAAAAAAAAAATTAAAAAAAAACAGGGCGGTGGATGGCCCAAAAAACACGCTTTTCGTGCAAGGCTCTCAAATTAGGAGGTGCTGGAGAAAACCAGCCTTCTGCGTTAATTTCTTATTTGGAACTTTTTTTATTCGCGTTCCGCCCATTGAAGAGCACGTAGGGAGCGCCTCAGCACGCACGTTGAATCGCTGCGCCGCAGTGCTCTTCCGCAGCATAAAGGTCGTCTGCATTCATCGCCGTCACCATGGCAACAAACGCCGAATGACCTTATCGGACGGCGCGTAATTCACTGGGGAGCGTGTCAACTCTCCCCGCACCACCCCCCGCCCCCCTTTCACCATGCAAATGACACTAACAGTAAACAAGTGTCCATTTTATTTTGCTAGTATTCAACTCAGTACTTTAGAACGTGTCACTTCTTACAAGTATTTGGGTATTACCATCACATCTAATTTAAGTTGGTCGTTCACTTCGAGATTAATATAGCAAACGTGTCCCGAAACCTATGTATTTTACGAAGGGCTATTCAACATGGCAATCCTGAAACCAAGCTAGTGGCGCGCAGTTCTTTGATTCGCGCCCGTAACTGGAATACGCGAACCTATTATGGGATTCGCATTCCCAGCCATTCATTGATTAACTGGAAGGAATCCGAAAAAAGGTATTTCGATTTTTTATAATGCATATTCATATGGCATGCATACGTTTGTGTCACCCCTTAATGTGTTATCCGGATTTACCTAGCTTTCGCCCCACAGAAAAGTGAGCATTTGAAATTTTTGTACAAATTAAATGGAGACGAGGGTCTTTAACTTATTTTTGTTTTTTTCATCTAACGTGCTAAAATTTAGAATAATAATGTATTCATCACTGGTAATTTCAAATATGCAATTATTTTTCAGGTTGCTTAACTAGATCCTTAGTTAGTAATAAATTTGTAATTTTCATTAGGTCCTCCTTGTGGGTCGTTAGCGTAAAATTCTTCAGACTATATCAGAAATGTTTATAAAATTGCATTCACCAAGACATGCTTTGTGCGGTGATGCTATTTTTGTTGCTTTCTATCTCATACAATAGTTTTAATTAATTAGTCTCCAAAATATATAGCCTCTGGTTTTGTGCAACTTGGTTGCAGATGTTTTTTTTTACCAATGTAATATCATTAAATCAGGCTTAAAATAGCATCACCGCAAAACCATGTCTTGGTGAATGAATTTCTATAAAAATTTCTTAAATATTCTAAAGAATCTTACGCTAACTACATTTAAGGGGGACCTAATTAAAGTTACAAATGTATTAAGAACTAAGAGTCTATTAAAGCTGACTGAAAAACAATTGCATATTTGAAATCACCACTGAGAAGTACATCAGCATGCTAAATCTCAATATGATAAATGAAACGTAAAAGAAAAGTAAACCTTTTTCGTAAGTTTCAATGTAAAAAATATATTTCTAAATATAATTTTTTGTCCTACATCTGTCCGCAGCTGGAATATCCTGCCTCATAGCACTACAGGCAGCGCCACCTTCGATTTGTTCGTCAGTGCCTTATATGAATTTTTGATTTAAATTTTTTCATCATTGCCAAGAGTTAATTTTCATTTTCTGGAAAATTATGTATTTCGAAGCTATGTACCGATCCTGCTCAGGTGTTGCGTAGAAGTACTTACATGTCGTGGCCCACAAAGGTGGGCCGATATTATTCCTCAAATAAATAACAAATAAAATAATTAAAAATGTCGCAAATATTAACTAATCGAATTTCTAAAATTGCGGTTCGAAGAACTGAAGCTACAATTTTTGCTCTCTATCTGGGCCTGTCATTTCATTCGGAATAACTTATTGTGCAAGCATTTGTTTTAAAGTGATGCTACCCGGTCAATTTCGCTGTCACACGGCGGTTTTGCTTGTTCGTTGCTCTCAAATCTTGAATCGAGCCCGCATCTTTGACAGAAGCATCGGTGTCAAACATTTTCACGCCATACTTTTACACTGACCCTTTTCAATGAAAGCGGCTAACACCTGATAATACAAACAGTGAATTGAGCGATCTCGGTAGAGCTGCGCGCTTTACAAAAAGCTGCACGAGCGTTTGTTTTGGGGTATTCTTTCAAGCAAAGCGCTTGGATGCCTGCGTTTCGCGCGCACATGACATTTACGTACATGCATTTTTTTTTCGCATATAATATTTATAAAAGCGACAACGGAAACTAATATCAAAGCCTCTTTTATCCTTTATTTAAACAAAACTGCAGAACGAAGGCTTATCGCCACTGCTGTACGCTTCTAGGGCGGTTGTATGTTTCTGATGCCGTGAAACCGCTCCCTGTTGTAAGAGCATCTCTTAAAAAAAGATTAAAACAACAAATATTAATTAAATGAATTCAACGTTCCATCTATAGTCTTCTAAACTTAATCACACACAATCTACGAACAGGAGCTTGGAAACTGGAAGTCGCGAAACCTGCGGATTGAATAGCT